TAAAATACATGAAAATTTAGAACTTTATATGACAAAAATAATCAAAAGGTAAATTGAATAAACTGGGAGAATATTTGCACATATGACAAAGGGTTAATATCTTTAATCCAAAAAAAGTTTCTAAGTGTTACAGCTCTTTTAGAATTTGTCTAGCAGGTTACTGCTCTTTTAGAATTTGTCTAGACATTCTTTTATATATTATTGGCAGAGGTATAAATAGGTTTAACCTTTCTAGAATGCAGTTGAATCAAAATTTCAGTTACTCTACAACACAAATTCTGACTAGGGTAATGATTTTACCGGCAAAGTGTACCAAAATATAGTCATCGAAACATTTTTATTAGCAAAAATCTGGAGACAACTAAATTCCTCAGTAGAAGACTTTAAATAAGTTATGGTATATCCGTATAATAAAATTCTATGAACTTGTTTTTGTTTAAAAAATGTTTGTGCTGGTATATATTTGTGTGCATTCGTGCACACTGCTTATTTTATTAAATGGAAAAAAGCAAGATATAGAACAAATATGATCCACTTCTAGTCAAATTTTAAAGAAAAGAAGGAAGGGAGTGAAGAGAAATGTATGAATGCTGTAGGTGTATTTGTTTTTGTTAGCAGGGCTCATAGGAAACCCCAAACAGTTACCTTTACCTTCAAGGAGAGGGATTAAGATTTCCCTTTTCAGGTACAGTTTCCATTTTCTGACCACGCGCATGTATTACTTTTTTAAGGTCAACAGAAATTCTCTGGGAGGGGCGTTATTTGCCATTTGTTATCTGTATACTTTTCTGCACTTAAATCATTAATGTAAGTAAATTAGGAATGAAGTCATCCCTCCTGGTGGTGGTGTGAATAAATTTTTAAACTCTTATGCCTCTTTGGGACACATGTGGGCACATCCTCCACACACTCTTCTTCCTCCTTCCTCCTTTTTTACAAACATTCATATACACTTTTTTCAGAAAAAAATATAAACATCAGGTGATATTTTTAGAGTGGAATTTATTTTCACACAGAGTATATTTTATACATAAAGTTTGAGGCCATAAATCAAATGTGGAAATGAAGTTGCAATATGAGGCCACGTGGGATTTGTTCGCAAATCTCTCAGATGAGGTCAGACTGACACCAAGACTAGAGGACAGACCTGCAGGCTGTTAATTTGGCACCCCATTCAGTATTTTAAAGTACTTGCTCAGCTTCCATTGAAAGGAGGGACCAAGACAACATGGATGAGGGACAAAGAAGTGGAATGAATGGGAAGAGGGCTGGGCAGAACACAGCCGCACCAAACAGCCACACTCCTCACACTATGCAAG